ATTTACAGATAACGTTTAATAGCCCATTGTGTTTTCCTCCTTTAGTGGAGTGATTATTATTTTGATATTTTTCATAGCCTCATGTATAGTGAGAGCTAGGTTTATAGCCTATTTATTTCTCCAATTGGAGGCGCTCTGAAGAGATAATAAAAACAATCAATTGAACCCTGCATCTGTGTCCTGAGTCCTTGCCTGGTCGTGACAATCAGAGTACCATGTGTTATTGATACATGTCACTCGGGTGCATGTGTTGGAAACTGTCAAAGTGTCTTAGTATGTGACACATACACTGAAAAAAAATATTTTTTGACCTTGTAATTATTCCTGTGATTATTTGTTTAAATTCTACAATAAATTATTATTTAAGTAATTTTACTTAAAAATGTCACCTTCTATTTAATCTGTTACTTGGTGTTTGCTTGTAATTATGTATCCTCATTTCCATACGTAAATTTGATCATTCACACCAAGTAATATTAATTAAACTAGTGTACTGACCGTGCAATCTGACACAAGTAAGTAAAATTAACTTGGGTGAGAGTGAACCAGGCAACCAAGCTGAACGAGTGACATCAGAGGAGAGTTTGCGCTTTGTCCCTTCAGAGACGCACCTCATCAAGAGGACCTGGCCCTGGACGACCGATTTGAACTGCGGATGGTTTTGTTGTTCATTTGATGAGAAAATTCATTAAATGCGAAGCCACAGAGGTAGGTTGTATGCTTAATTAACTTTGTACATTGCTGTTGTTTCGTCGACTAAAGCCATTGTTTGTGTACTAATACAATAAAAAAATACTTAACATTAGCATTAGCTGGTCAGTTTACCTTGCTAGCTAGTTATCATGCTGGCACATGTGTTGCTCTTTCCCACCCTGCCCTCTGCCTGTATTTTCTTATTTTTTTCATGTTTTGCTTTACTCGTCGAGGCTTCAGGGCTTAAGCCTGTTTGGCAGTGGTATGTAGCCCCCAACCAATACAGCGCATCGTTTGTGAAGTTGGGACACTACAAAAACGTAGCAACCAGTTAGATCGCAATCTACATCTCATGAGTTTTACACACAGGCAGAGCAGACAGAGGGTTGCCTCAGCTGTGTAGGTGTGAGCAGGTTTATTTGTGCTTTAAAATGCAACTGCTATGAAGCTGATTGATTCCTTTGTTCTCTGAGGGCTGACTTTGAATGGCGCATTTACAGACAATAATGTGCTCTGCTATAAATTCACTTCTGTCTAACAGCAACATGTTGAAGGTAGAAGAGATGTCATCATCCCCTGCTTGAGTTCCTTGGAGAGTCTGGAGAGGAACTTATTAAAGACCACCAGGTAAACTTTGAAAATTTGGGATTTTCTGATAATTATTCTGACCATAATGAACTAGTCTTTTTCCCAGCCTAATAATATAACTTTAATCTTGTCACTAACCTACAGTACCAGTCAAAAGTTGTGCCTTTCCATGTAGTAACAAAACTTTAGGTCACAATCAGTTTATTTAAAAACAGTTGTTCTGACAGTATTTTCATAGGCTGCATAGCTACCTTAACCACCTGACTGAAAAAATATTACTGTCCAATGAAAATATTTTTACCTCTTTCTCATGTTGCACCTTGGTTTCTGAATCAAAACAAAACAAAAGTCAGCAAAAATAATTAATTTCATTGCTTCAGAAGTGTTTCAGGATTCTGAAAATACTAACAAATGTTTTGAACAACCTGGGTTTTTCAAACAATGCCAGAGTATTACCTTTTAAGAAATAACAGTGGTTACGTCAATGACCTGAATGTACACTAATATGAGAGGTACAAACTACGGTTAATTTAGACCGAGAAATACACATGAAAAGAAATTAATTACATGATAACTTACCTTTCAATTTTTATCTATGTTAATTATTCAAAATCATTAGTAACCTAAATACTTACCCAGCATTTAACCAATGTCTTGCTCTGAGCATCTTACTTCGGTTGTGTAATTTATGTGTAAACTATTAATTGGCCACTTCTACCCTGTAAATCACCTATTGCATATACAGGAACTTTAATAAATCTGTAGTACATTGAGCACTGATTGTTTGATGTTTTTGACAGGATGTCAGCAAAGAAGCCATCAGAGAGGACTTATCATGTCTTTACGATCTTTGTTATGGAAGTGCAGATCAGGAAGGCCACACCCCTCATCGTGGGAAAAGAGTTTCTTGATGACTGTAAAAGTGTGGCATTGGCTGCTCATTGACTTTATCCATACAATGAACTTGAGTTACCCACCAACATAGAAATAGACATTTGAAATGTTTCAGAAGCTCTTTCTTGAGCTTGATGTCCTGAAGATGTCTCCTTAAGTCCAGTCTTTGCACAACACACTTCTAGCATAACTGTTTTCATGCAAGTTTATCAAAAACTTCATTGTGTTTAACTATTTGAAAATGTTTTAGTCAGACTAAGTCTTTTAATCAAAATTTATTTTTTTTTTTTTGACAATACTGATTTATGAATGTACACAAATGTATTTATTTAAAATGTTTTTATGCCAGCCACACTGTATACGTTGCACTGTAACTTACATAATAATTTCTGGATATTAAGTAAAGAAAAGCTAATTAAATTACCCTGAAATACCAAGCGTTTTTGTAGGGGTTTTGAAATTGGATGCCAAGGTAGTCTGAGTGAAATTTGCTTACAAAGGGTGAGTAAATTTTGTGTCTAAAGAAGAAAACTGCCAGTAAAATCTACTTTGGTATTCTTGGTTTAACAATTCATACTAGTAAGCAAGCTTTACTTGAGGATTTCCTGAGTAAAAATTACAAAGAATTTCTGTGTGGAAATTGTTACTGAGCTTTTTTTAAGTAAATGCAACTCCATTCCTCCAATTTTTTCAGTGTATTATAGATGAAGGGTCAGCAGGTAAGTTTGACCTTGATCCATTAGATGGCGGCCAGAACATAATCAAAGGTTAATTTAAGAAATTGATAAAAATGAAACTGGACTTTACTTTGTTACTGTTCACATGTGGAGCTATGGTCTACAGTCACATTCTATACCTTTGATTGATCTCATGAGCTGGTGTTATTTTTTTCTTACCACAAAGGGCATCATGGCTATTTCAGAGGTCTGTCAAGTAAGCAACAGAATATTTTGATCAGGATGACACAAAACAAACTTTCCTGTGCTTTTATTACTAAACAGGAAGGGATTCTGTTGGTGACTGTTGCCATGACAGAGTTCTATTTCAGCACCAGGTGCTGTCTAACTATGGTGCAGCCCGTGGCCTGATGTGAATGTTTGTGTCTGCATTCACTCTCAACACAGATAAAAGTATAATAAACACCTTAAGGTGGGGGGAAATGCTCTGTTTGGACATTATAGCTAAATGTGAGATCATCAGTCTGAAGTTGGGCCAGTTTTATGATGCCTAAGACATGGAAGATAATGGAGGTTATCTGAGTTCTTGCTCAGCTGTGATTGGTACATGGATGCAATTAGATGGTGCTTTACCTAAATGTTGTTAATATCTTGCATGTTTCACCCTGAGACTTATGCTGCTCCCAGTACTGTTAAAATTGAAAAAATAAAATTTCTCTGTGTATTTAGTCAAAGTGTCTTTTTGTTTCATCCTTATCTACAGGGAGGTCAGAGGTCACGGTGTGGAGCTGGCAGAACCTGCTTCAGCATTGTTTTAGAAGCCTGCTGCTAAGTATGTTTGGCATTCAACTTTCATTTCATTTAACAAACATTATTTATTTTATCTTTTTCAGATAAATGTCTGGTTAAGGAAAAAATTCCTGAGTTTGAAAGTGGTTTCATGAAGCTCTGAACTATAATGCAGCTCTGACAGCGCTGATTGATCAGCCCTGACCAGAGAGCCAATCAGCACTGAAATATCAATCACATGAAGAAAATAAACAGACAGAAACTAAATGAGGTCAGCTCTCCACAGACAATCTGACCCTCCTTTTTATGGGCATAAATTATGAGCTGTTCACAACATCTCTGGAAACATTGATCATTTCTCTGCTGCTGCTTTCTGAGCAGGTTGAAAAATCCTCATGACATCAACAGCTGATGAACGAGGTCACATTTCTCATTATATGGTTATTATTTTATCTAAACTCTTGTCTTCCATCTCTTCTCTACTTACATATCTGACCATAGAGTCTCTTCACCAGGTGCAGAACAGAGATGATGCAAAACTGTCAAAGAGGAGTATAAGAGCTCGCAAACAGAGTCATCAGCATGTCATGTTTGAGCAGAACCCCAATTGTTTGCTAAAATAACTTGTAATAAGCAAATTGAAACCATATGTGGGATGCTGGATATTGCACTTCAATGAAATATTATACTGCTATAACTATATATCGTTCCATCTTAGAGAACAGGTTCCTCCAGCTAGGGTTCTGTGCCCACTTATTCAACTGTGTGCTGTTTTTAAACAGTTAAAGAAGATGAGAGGAGCTCATGTGATGTGATTGGCTATTAGGCTAACATTGGAGTTGACCCCCACTCTGCCATTGGCTAGTTCTGGCACAACCTAACCAACAGCCACATTTGTATATATTTATAGTTTTTTATATATCTGTGTACTCCATGTCTTCTGTTGTGTTTTTAATGGCTGCTGAAAGTGAACTCCTCTGACCCCTGACCTATCCCTCCTCTGTGGTGGGCAGCAGGTGGTCATCACTTTTTATATGATCAACGTTGGTTTTTTGGGTTAACTATTTAAATATACATAAATATACACACATAGTACATAGAGTATGCTTGTGGACAGTTGTGGATTGAATCAATCAGTAAAATGAGGCCAGATCACCAGAGAGGAACTCATGGCTGAGCTGACTGATGGCAGTTCAAATGTGTGTCAGAATAAGCAGTCATCAGTCATTCATTTCCAGGGGGGAGGAAACTGGAACATCAGCCAGAAATGTTAAATGGTTTATGGAGGTGACAAAATGGACTGTTGTTGTTGTTGCAGTGTAAAGATGTGCAGAATAAAGAATAAAAATGTAAACTCACCCTGGACAGGACAACCTCTAAGGTGATGTTCTGAGGAGGTGCACTGGGCACTGCAGAGACAAACATAAAAGTATATAAATATATCAGATCAACAGACACCAGTTTATTCATGACTCAAAGACTAAACTGACTTTTTATTTACTTATATGCTATTTTCAATCACTGTACGTTCTTGGTAAACAGTATGTTGAGGAATCTGTGCACTTAACCTGCTGATATATTATTTGTGTCACTGAAATGTTCACTTTTATTGGTGTTTTAGAAAAAAAAATCCATTACCCATCATTAAAAAGTCGGTTAGAGCAGTTGTTCTCAACATTTGGTTTGAGACCCCCCCCAGTAGTACTAAGATAAATCTAAAGGGCTTTTTTTAAAAGGATTTATCTTTCTGTCAAATGTCAGGCAAGTTTATGGACGTGAAACAGTCAAACCCTTGCACAGCCCTGTGTGAAATACTCTGACCAGATCACAGCCCATGTGCTCACTATGCTCAGCCAGGAACCTCAGGAAAAGACATGAGCACACTCAGTGACCTGGTATATGACTTTTAAACTAATCACTCATGACATCATAATGGAGCTAAGAAATGAGCCTGTTATGTCTCCCACATAACAGGCAGAATTATGTTATAACCAACCAGTCTGGTGTGTAGAGGTGTGTGTGGCTATTCTGTAGCAGCTTGCTTTCAATTTACACATAATTGAATCAAGGTAAAAACAGTAGTTGCCCTGGCATGACTGCACTGTGCTCTGTCACAGGCTGCAGATTCATCAACATGTGTGTCCTACTGCCTTCAGACGCCTTCAGAGATTTATTGACCTGAAGAAGAAGCTTTTCATAAACAACAACAGATACTATTAGAATCAATCATTCTAATTCATCAATCAATCAATCCAGACTGGTTTTAAATGTTTGTGATATTAATGTGACATTAAATGTTTTTTTATGCTGATTTAAATGCATCTATTAGCTTTTTTTTTTACTTTATTTTCACAATAGGTTTTTAATATGGAAAACACAGCAGTTCATCATTCAGCTATGAAAGGTAGAAAAGAAAACAAATTGATTAAATATGATTAAATAATTTTCAATCTAGGGGTGTCAAGTGGTGCAGTGGGTTGAGCAGGCGCCCCATATGTAGAGGCTACATCCTTCGCTGCAGTCGGCCCCGGTTCGAATCCCGTATCGGACGGCCCTTTACTGCATGTCATTCCGCCTCTCTCTGCCTCCCCATTTCCTGTCTCTCTCTACTGTGCTCTACTGTGCATAAAAAGCCAAAAAATATACTTGAAAATTATTATTATTTTTTTTTTTCATCTTCTGGGGTTTTTATGACTAATAGAATCTCAGTTTCATTGTTGTGGACAAAACCTTTAAACACACACACAAACACACAAACACACACACACACACACACACACACACACACACACACACACACACACACACACACACACACACACACACACACACACACAAAAACACAAATGCACAAAAACACACGCACACACACACACACACACAAACACACAAACACACACACACACAGATTATATATATAGTCAAGCCCAAAATTATTCATACCCCTGGCAAATTTTGACTTAAAGTTACTTTTATTCAACCAGCAAGTTTTTTTCTGACCGGAAATGACAAAGGCTTCTCCCAGAAGATAATAAGACGATGTACAAGAGGCATCATTGTGTAAAAAAAATATTTCTTAGCTTTTATTTACATTTGAACAAAAAGTGGCATGTCCAAAATTATTCATACCCTTCTCCATAATCAATCAGAAAAGCCTTTATTGGCTATTACAGCAAGCTTTTTGCATGTCTCCACTGGTATTTTTGCCTATTCATCTTTAGCGATGAGCTCCAACTCTTTCAGGTTGATGGGTCTCCTTGCCATCACCCTAATCTTTAGCTCCCTCCACAGATTCTCAATCGGCTTCAAGTCAGGACTCTGGCTGGGCCACTGCAAAACGTTAATGTTTTTGTCCGCTAACGCATTCTATCACGCACTCTTGCGTGTGTTTTGGTCGTTGTCGTGCTGAATGTCCACTGGTGCCCAAGGGCCAAGTTTCTCTGCAGACTGCCTAATGTTGTTGTTTGAGAATCTTGATGTAATTGCTCTTTTTTCATGGTGCTGTTTACTGTGAATTAGGTTTCCTCTGGGTGCATTGGCTGAAAAACACCACCCAAAGCATTAGTTCCCACCAACCATGGTTTGACAGTGGGGATGGTTTCTGTAAAGGGTTTGAAGGCACTTCTCCTTTTCTAGAGCCAAATTGAAGAAGATTCCATCATTGTGGCCACACAAATTCAATTTTTGTTTTCATAAAACAGACGACCAGAAGTCTTCTTCTTTGAATCTAGATGATCATTTGCAAAGGCCAAGCGGGCTTTTTTGTGTTCCTTAATCTGGACGAAGTGCATCCTCCTTGGTCTGCGTTCCATGGGAACCCAGCAGTAGTGCAGTGATCATTGAGGACTGTCTGCCTTGAGATGTTGTACACCAGCAGAGCCCCAGATTCACCAGGATGTGCCTTGGTGTGATCCCTTTGATTCTTCTTCACCTCTCTCACTATCCTCCCTGGCACACAGGTTGTCACTTTGGCTTCCCGACACACGTCCTCGTGGAGATTTTCAACAGTGCGGACAGTCTTTGTTATTTTTTTAAATAATACTTTCGCAACTGTAGCCTACTGGAACTTTGAAAACATTTAGAGTATGGCCTTGATGCCTTGTCCCTGACTTGTGCAAGCAGACCACAATGCGCAGCCACAGGTCTTTCAAGTGAGCTCCTTTGTGCTTAGCCACTGACCTGTCCTCCACAAACCAACTTGCGAGAGCTGCTGTTTTTCACGCTGTAAGTTGATTAAAACAGCTGTTCCCAATGAATTCAGGGTAAATTTAAGATGCTTTAAGAAAGCCTGGACTAGTTTGGAATGGTATAGAACTTTGGATTTTCCCATAGACTGTGACAGTTTGCAAAGGGTATGAATAATTTTGGACATGCCACTATTTGTTCAAATGTAAATAAAAGCTGAGAAATATTTTTTTCCACAATGATTCCTCTTGTACATCGTCTTATTATCTTCTGGGAGAAGCCTATGTCATTTCCGGTCAAAAGAAACCTTGCTGGTTGAATAAAGTAACTTTAAGTCAAAATTTGCCAGGGGTATGAATAATTTCGGGCTTGACTGTGTATACATATTTATATATATATATATATATATATACCTTCTCTTGTTCTCTGAAAACAAGCATGTTTCCATTTGTAGACTTGATCACAGGTATTAAAGAGCCAGTTTAGCAGATCCTTGTCTAACATCTTACAATTGAAGATGAACATCAACTCAATGGATAAATCAGACAGGTGTAATGTTGATAGAAGTGGAGTTTTTAGAGGCTAATAGTTCCCCCTCCTTCCAGTCTTTGTGCTAAGCTAGGCTAAAAACCACCTGGAAGTTCCCAACATTACCTTGTATCTCCCTGAGACTCTGGCCCTGAATAACCTGTTACAGATGAAGTAGTGTTATTAGTTTTTCAGTGTCAGTGTCAGTGAATGAGTGCTGTGCTGTCTCTGTTTGGTGTCAGATCACTCCTTTCAATCAATCATCATGATGACATCAGCACAGACAAGAAGCTGATGGACTGATGCTGGCATTCAGTCTTTGTGAACTGACTGTGTCACTGCAGCAAAATAAGATTACCACCGGAGAACTGACAGGTGTCATAAACACACACGCACGCACGCACGCACGCAACTGATTAAATAATTTTCAATCTAGGGGTGTCAAGCGGTGCAGTGGGTTGAGCAGGCGCCCCATATGTAGAGGCTACATCCTTCGCTGCAGTCGGCCCCGGTTCGAATCCCGTATCGGACGGCCCTTTACTGCATGTCATTCCGCCTCTCTCTGCCTCCCCATTTCCTGTCTCTCTCTACTGTGCTCTACTGTGCATAAAAAGCCAAAAAATATACTTGAAAATTATTATTATTTTTTTTTTTCATCTTCTGGGGTTTTTATGACTAATAGAATCTCAGTTTCATTGTTGTGGACAAAACCTTTAAACACACACACAAACACACAAACACACACACACACACACACACACACACACACACACACACACACACACACACACACACACACACACACACACACACACACACACACACACAAAAACACAAATGCACAAAAACACACGCACACACACACACACACACACACACACACACACACACACACAGATTATATATATAGTCAAGCCCAAAATTATTCATACCCCTGGCAAATTTTGACTTAAAGTTACTTTTATTCAACCAGCAAGTTTTTTTCTGACCGGAAATGACAAAGGCTTCTCCCAGAAGATAATAAGACGATGTACAAGAGGCATCATTGTGTAAAAAAAATATTTCTTAGCTTTTATTTACATTTGAACAAAAAGTGGCATGTCCAAAATTATTCATACCCTTCTCCATAATCAATCAGAAAAGCCTTTATTGGCTATTACAGCAAGCTTTTTGCATGTCTCCACTGGTATTTTTGCCTATTCATCTTTAGCGATGAGCTCCAACTCTTTCAGGTTGATGGGTCTCCTTGCCATCACCCTAATCTTTAGCTCCCTCCACAGATTCTCAATCGGCTTCAAGTCAGGACTCTGGCTGGGCCACTGCAAAACGTTAATGTTTTTGTCCGCTAACCACTTCTTCACCACTCTTGCTGTGTGTTTTGGGTCGTTGTCGTGCTGAAATGTCCACTGGTGCCCAAGGCCAAGTTTCTCTGCAGACTGCCTAATGTTGTTGTTGAGAATCTTGATGTATTGCTCTTTTTTCATGGTGCTGTTTACTGTGATTAGGTTCCCTGGTGCATTGGCTGAAAAACACCCCCAAAGCATTAGGTTCCCACCACCATGTTTGACAGTGGGGATGGTTTTCTTAGGGTTGAAGGCTTCTCCTTTTCTAAGCCAAATGAAGGATCCATCATTGTGGCCAAACAATTCAATTTTTGTTTCATAAAACAGACGACCAGAAGTCTTCTTCTTTGTCT